GAAGAAATTCCAGGAACTTTTGTCCCAGAAAAAATTTCGAAAAATGTCTTAGAAAGTTTTTTCTCAGATAAATTTCGCACTGCTTCAGTTTAGCTTCATTCGTTTTTGAAATGGAGCAATTATGAAAATATTGAGCAAAACACGAGGCGAGAGGGAAGGAGTAAGACTGGAGGGATGAAGTAAGCAGCCATCAGAATTTTCTCCTATTAATTAATTTCGAAATGCATTTCCGAAAAAGTTCTGGATATAATCCCAGATATTCTTAAAAATCATTTTATACAGAAACAACACCTGCCAAAACATTACACCCGAAAATACCTGGCTTAACAGCTGCTTCGGAGAACAATTCCCAGTTTCTGATGAAATCGGCCACGTGCACCAGCTGGTGAGGCAGTGTAGTGACACCAGTTGGATGCAAAAATTCATAAAGCGATAAGCGTGTCTGGTGCTCAGAAATCTTAACATTTACATGATGTCTTTGGAAAAACTCAATTCCTCCTCTCCCTCTACCACCCTTCCCCTCTTTTCCCCCAAATTTAGACTTAAGAAAAACGGACCATTTACTCATGCATCGAATGAAAACACATTCACCTAACTGTTAGCGTTGCTGAGATAGTGATAATTTCTACCTGAAGATTACTGAAGAAGAAAAGTGAAATACCTTGAATTCATATCAAGCCAGGTGGCTGTTTTTCCGTCTTGGATAAAAGCTCAAAATAGGGAAGAAAGAGAAGTCGCTAGTTGCGTCAATGGCATGAAGGGACATGGAAGTGAATCATAATTTTGTGGTAGTGCTACTAATCGCCCTGGCACTGACTGTATTCAATAAAGCCTTACCTCTGAAAGAAAACCTATGAGTGCAATAAGCTGTGGTACTGAAATTACATCGTTCCGCGCTCCTCGATCATTTATAATAGATCTACAACATATAACTGTAGAAGGATCCTGAAGTAATTTAGCAGCAAGCACCAGCGAAAAAATAGGCCTTCATATTTGTATCAAGAAAATGCCAATATTTTAGCGTTCTCATCCGAACGATCATCTGCCTAGTCTTCCAAGCATCACAAACATACGGATGCGAAACATGGTCAATGACGAATCAGAAGAGCAAGATCTGGCTGCGACAGAATGAGCAGTGGTGCAAAGACTGCTTGGAGTGTTCCTCCTCCTGACAGTTTAAAAGTGAAGTCGCTCGTTACAGTACAAAGCCTGCCAATGCGACAGAGGAAAAAACATGCTAAAGTGCTAGCAAACTTGGAGGACGAAAGATTATGGCAAACCTCAGAAAAAAAAAAGAAGGCGCTTCTTTCTTTAAGAAAAAAGAAGTTTTTTAAAATTTGAGGAAATGCTCTAAATATGGAAATGATTTAAACGTAAAGCATACAGAAATATTCGAAAAGCGGTATTTGTCCAGAGATCGAGGTGAGCACTGCGAATGAACTGGTATCCACGATACTGTTCGCCTCCCAAATTCATTTCGTATCTTTCTAGAATGATGCATTTTAAGAAATCTTAGGATAAGATTAAACCCGAAATTTCAGTGGACTATGGAAATGGTTGGAAGACTGTGTAGGTTCAGTGGACTATGGAAATGGTTGACCAATGACCAGATCCTACAGTCTTACCGGATTGGCCAGTTTTTTATCGAACAGACCCCTGTAACTGGCTTTAGTAGGTACCACAAGCGAAGAACAGTAGGAGAGTAAGCGTTCTCGCTTTTCAGTGAGCGATTTGTCCAAATGGCTGAGTACTACTAGCTACCCACTGCTGCGATGGAAAAATTAAGCCGAATTTCAGACTAGCGCTGCCTTGATTTCTTGAGTTGAAGCAGTAAAGGCGCTATTTTTACTTGATAAAAAAATACTCGACCGTACTGGACAATGACAGATTCAGGAACTAATATGATTTTTTAAAAGGTTCATTTTTATACTGAAACTTGCAAGATCAAATCTTAGTAAAAGTAATGGTTAATGGTCAAATTTCAACATGCGGTTGAAAAAAGCGAAAAATGAAACTTCCTGATGTTATCAAAATGAAAGATCGCGAAATTTTAAACGAAATGGTACCTTTCATTAAAGGTCGACTGAAGTGCACTTCTCTGTTCGTGTTTCACATCTGATACTGGAAACGGTTATCAGTTCACCATTTTTTTAGCAAGCCCATGACCACGCCATCTTTTTTTTTCTTTATTTCATGGCCGTTTCCCACTAATGCTAAATTGCAGCTTTCTGACGGCCCTAAACTTGCTTTTTTCTCCTAAAGATATTACTGGCTCATTATTCTCCTTTAGAAGTATTCTGGCAAAGCTTTGCCACTTTGAAATTCAGCGAGGGGAGAGGCAGGGAGACGGAGAGGAAGGCGGGAGAGGGTGTTAAATATTGCCATCATGTCTCGGAGCACTG